CGCATGAACTGAAAGACATAAGCCTTACTATTTGTCGTACAGTAATAATTAGAAGCGCGTGAGTTAGGAGTGTGCATGAACATCAGCCATTCCCAGTGCCTTGTTCCCCTAAATGCTGGTGGATGGTTACTGTGGCAAGATTTCCGAGACTGCCTGTCAAGCGAAAACGGAGTTCAAGAAAGCAGTTATGAATGTGGTGACGCCATCCTTGCAACTGCTTAAGCCTAATAACCTAACTTGCCTCTCATGCAAAACGATGGAAGCTCTAGTTAAGAGCGCTGTACAGCAGTTTTGTGAAGAAAATGACATCTTGCAGGATTTTCAACATGGCTTTCGCAGACGACGTTCCTGCCTCTCAAATCTGCTAACTTGTTTGGAGATCTGGACCAGGACTTTAGAAGACGTGTACGTTCATTTCCGCAAAGCATTCGACGCTGTCCCGTGCCAACGCCTTCTTAGTAAGTTGAGCGCCATCTTCATCAGTAGAGATCTTTTGACCTGTTTGCGGTCGTTTCTGGTTGGTCGGGAACAAGGTGTCTGTATCAGAGATGACATGTCAGACTGTTGGAACGTGACTAGTGGTGCGCCCCAAGGCTCAGTTCTGGGACACTTTCTCTGTATCATTTATGTTAATGAAAGCCTTCAGGAACTCGACTACGGTTTAACGATGATGTTAAATTCTAGCAAGTCATAACAGTCCAAATGACTAGAGAGTCCTTCAAAGCAATCTGCATCGACCGCAAGCGTGGTCAGAGAAATGGCTTCTAGATTTCAATGGGCAGAAGTGTGCTGTCCTTCATCAGCGTCCAACCAACTCTCATTCAAATGAGAGCCTGAGGATATATCACCTGAAAGATTTAAAACCCCCGCGGAATATTCGCAAAAGGATCTCAGTGTTTGGATGCAGAGCAACATGAAACCAACATTGCAGTGCAACAAGGCTGCAAAAACACCATGGGAGTGCTCCATGCAATCCAAACTGCGCTCGTAACCTTTGGCTAAGACCATTTTGGGATAGTTTACAACACCTTTGTTCGGCCCCGTTCAGAATATGGCATACAACCTTGTCAGTTATGGCTAGCAAAGGACTAAAATGCCTCGAGAGGGGACAACGTGGTGCAACGAGTCTGGTGAACGGTTTAAGAAGCTAATCCTACCTAGAAAGACTGAATTGCCTTAATTTATTCCCTCTGTGTTACAGGCAGCTTAGAGGTGATCTTATCCTCGTCTACAAGATAATACATGGCCTTGAGCATGGGCTTAGCCTTGAGAACATGGTTCAGTGGCACCTTTCATACAGTATTCGTGGTCACTCGACGAAGCTTCGCACAAAGTGACCAGGCGGAATCTTCGTTCTGAAATTTTCACGCAAAGTGCAGTGGGAAATAAAATGATCTTCACCAGTCGGTCGTGGGGGCGACGACCCCGCAACTCTTCAAGAAACGCTTGCAGGATTATTTGTGTCCCCTGTTTTCCCTCGACAGTCTGAATCTGAGTTAAATACACCGCGACCCCGGGGATATTTTCTCAGGAACAATGCTACTCAAATGAATTAATTACTGCTTTAATAGCAACGTTTTTTACTGTTCGCGTACAGTTGTGTCTAGTGTGCTGACATGTAATAAACAGAGTTTTTAAATGCCTTAGATGTTATCCTTATCAAATTAACTGAAATAAGCTGAAAACAGTTTATAGCCAAATTGATTCGCCAGAAGGTCTACGATATGCAACAACTGCTCGGTTTGACTGTTGAATATGAAACAGCCGCTGCATATGGGCCTCTGTCAAAACCCTGTGTGATGCAAATGACTTGCAGAAGTTAATAGCACAATTATGTAAAACTGCGACATGAACTTTCAAGCACCTGCTTATGTGAGTTAATGACGCTATCTTTATATAATCTAAATACATAATGCGACGTAGGAATTTAAATTTTTCTGCTACATACTCTATATCGACTTGAATATCTTCGGTTCTTATGGGGTTCGCATATCGAGGCTTTTGCATAGGAATGTTAAACTATCCTTTTGCTAGCATTCGCTTGTTGTTAGGTGGTTGCAAGCCACATCGGCACAATACAGGATGTCAAATGGCTCTCAGTCTGCGGTAAATACACACAGTACTGATTAGTGGGGATATATAGCCATAAAATACTACATGAGTCTGAATTTTTCGACAAAATAATCAAACACAGACTGGAATTAACACGTTAACAGAGGGCGGAAAACAGACACAGCTGATATTCTGAGATACGTTTATGAGGATTGCCAACGGAAAATAGACATCACTTTACATGCGTAGGCTTTCAGTTTGCGTAGCACTTACAGCCTTCTAGTGAACAAGAACGGCATGCGCCAGTGCCGCTAAGCCACACGGATTATTTAACCATTTTCCACAGTCTGTTTTCAAGTTGCTTGAGGCACACTGGTCTGAAATGTCTTGGTCTTATTCAATAAAAAATTTAATAATTGAACTATACACATGAGTTAGGACATGTGAAGAGAAATGGAATCAGCCGTTGGAACACGAACACTGTTCTCCCTACGCTGGGAATTCACTCTCGACGCCACCATCAAAGACCGCAACAACCTACTCAACTAGGAGGCGGCCGATGCATTAGGCAACGGATATGGAACCGCAATATCAGGACATACGTTCTGTCAGTCCGTCGGTGCGGTCGTAAATGTTGGGTTATGCACGCGGAAGGAGAGTTAGACAAGGAGCTTTTGAAAACCACTGCTTGAGGAAGCTCTTGTGAGTGGTCATCTACATAAAAACTCTGCCAGTAATCTACAGACTCGGCTAAATGAAGTGTTTCAGTGGACTTGAAGAAAAAAAATATAAGAAGCAATTAGGTCTAACACGCTTCAAGAACGTAGAAACGAAAAAATGCGGTGAGTAAGTCCCGTCGTTATTTTCCCACCGTCGTTCGTAAGCAGTTTAGAACAATGCATTTTTACATGACGAGAAGCAAGAATGTCGAGTTCTGACATGGGTGTAGATGAACCAGCCGACTTTTCGCAATATGACAACGGCTAGTTAACTTCTTAGAGGTGTTCGTCGAAACATTCGTCTTGCCCGTCGTGTGTTACCCTAGCGGCAATGACGTTTAACGCGCCAGCAAAATTCTCGCTGCAACCAAGGTCTGCCGTCGTCCAAACGTTGCTCGAGTTATTGTTCGCAATAAGCTCTCTCTCTCTCGTATTCGATGTACCGCCTGATCTTCGGGAAGGTCCCATCCTGTCAACTTTTCTGTTTCGCAAGCTACGCAAACGGGCCACCAGGATAGCAATTCACGGAACCTGAAATTGGTCGTGACGGTTAGTTTACACCTACAATCCTGGACGAACTGAGTACATTGGACACCCTAGGATACACTCCAAAGTAGGCCATTGATATCAACTAGCTATGTCAGCACTCGGTACCTAAAACAAGGCAACTGTCTGCCGAGATACCAAGTCTCAATAAAGACACTACAAGTCCTCTGTAGCAAGAGATTTACCCAAGTCAATAATTGCTCGACTCGCACAGCCCACATTCGGGAGTAAAGTACTGAGGTGGAAAGTGCAAAGGAATATGAAATCAGACGTTGCCCATACTGAGACGTTTTCTTAAACTCGACAGTTCGAATGTCGTTTCCGATGATGTTTAACGTGCACTCCACGGCGTGATGCAGCGGACACGGTGACTTGCGTATTTATTAATTTAAAGTGGCATTCAACTTGCGCTGCATCTACCGCACTCCCTTTTCCGCGCTTCCGACCTGGACCCGGTGTCAAGACAGAGTCAAGGAGACCGGAGGTGAGGGGACACAGGTGGCCGATACAGCCGGACCCGCGCCTGGGCGTGCCACCACACCCGTGGTCCACAACACACATGTGGCCAGGACTTTAACCAACAACGACAAAATAATGGAGGCTGGCGCGGCCGAAGTCGTGCCTAGGCGTATCGCCACATCCGGCTCGGATCCCATTCAGTGGGAGTGCCACATTAAGAAGGAACCACTTCAGCCTGACTCTCAGACTACCAACTGGCCACTCCACTCAAACACACAACACTGGGCCGACTGCGAGGTCCAAGCTCTCCCGTCAGTTGACAACCTTCCAAGCCACGAATTTTAGCGTACCGTGATAGCTCAAAACGCGTCAGATTGTTTACAGTGAGGCAAATACGCTGAGTCGTCAAACTCGTTCTCACTTCCCATTCCCAGGCCTCAGCCACTAGCCCAGCTAGTAATTAGACAGTTGCGGAGAATAGACGCGGTGGATGACATAGTCTAGTGGCCTTGTCCCTGCGTGCCACATGCACGAGCTGGCCCTCCAAAGAGAAGCATCAGGATTTCACACAACGGGGGTTGAGCAGCATGCATCTCGCATGCGTGAAAGTGCCCTAGACGACGTTTAGAACGAGCTGTTTCAGCCTGGCTCACAGTCCACCAGTCCGCCACCCCACACAAATACTCATAACTGGACGGACTGCGTGGACTGAGTTGGGGCTTCAGTCATCACCCTTCCAAGCCACGGCACTGGTTCGCCAGTCTCTGTGCGGTGGATTCGCAAGTGACCGACCAGGCCGATGTGTGAGCTGAAGGCGCAGTCGCAATGAGGACAGGTGTAGACCAGGTCCTTACCACTGGTGTCGATGCTGGTGGTGTTCGTGTTTGTTGGTGTGTCAGGATTGCGTGTGATGTTGATGTGCGTGGCAGAGGCTACAACGGCAGACGTTGAGTCAGTGGGGGAGGAGGTTCGGGAGGGTGGTCAACGTTAGAGGACGAGGGAGAGGTGGAAGGAAAGACGACGGTGGGTGCAGCCCGGATACTACAGTTCGTCCGAAGGCGTCCAACAAGTCCAACTGGCGTCCAGAATGTACGTTGACACCGTGGACACGTTGGGGGCGGCTGGCGTTGGCGTTGCGAGGTGGGCGTAGTTGAGACTTGCGTGTCTTGCGTTTGGCTTTTGCGGCGGCAATGTGGCTGACCTCGCAGATCGCTGAGTTTGTCTTCACTGTAATCCTTCGGGTCGGTCGGTCTCCAGCAGTCTTCCCAGTTGGCCGGATTGACCTGAAGGCGCTTTAGAGAGGTCTTCAGAGTGTCCTTGTATCAGCGAGTTTGGTCTCCTTGGCGGCGGGAACCCGTGGCGACATCTCCATAGAAAAGTCGTTTGGGTAGCCGCTCGTTGTCCATCCTCACAAGAAAGGCGCTCCAACGCAGTCGCAGTTGTCTTAGCATGGCGTAGATGCTGAGAATTCCCGTCCGTGCCGGAAATCCGGCCATGCCACCTCAGCTTTGGCATCCGTCGAGGACAGCTGAGGTGGGATTGATTGAGCCTACGCGCCTGCTTATTGTAAATCGTCCAGGTCTCGGCTCTATACAGCAACGTCGGCAGGATGACTGCCTTGTACATCTTCAGCTTCTTGTTGCGATGGAGACAGTGACGGTTCCAGACGGTGTGTTGAAGACGACCGATGGTTTGGATGGCTTTGGAAATGCGGCAGGCCACTTCATCGGTGACGCGGGAGAGGGTGCTGCCCAGATACGTGAAGTTGTCCACCATTTGCAGTTGGTTTCCGTTCACACTGATTTGCTTCGCATTGCATGCTGTGTTTAGTGGCGGTCGGTGCATGATCACCGTCTTTTTCGTGTTGATGATCAGACCGAAGTTTTCGCAGACGGTAGCGAAGAAGTCCATGCTCCTTTGCATGTCCCCTCCTAGGCGAAGAGAATATCGTGGACGGTGGTTGTGGATACACGCGACTGGAAGTGCATCCGCCTGTGGTTGAGGATATGGCCGTCCGTCCTGATGGCACGGTAGGTGACCATCAGCATGGCAGAGAACATAAGACCGAAGAGGGTGGGCGCCAGAACGCATCCCTGCTTCACTCCGTTGGTCATTGCGAATGCCTCTGAGACAGTTCCGTTGTCCGTGACGTGAGCCATTATGCCATCAGCCGAATTTCTGCATGATTTCTCACAGGCCGTCACGATTCACCGCATCGAAGTCTTTTGTCAGATCCACGAAGGTAGAGTACAGGCGGGTCCGCATCTCCTGACACGCTCTGCAGGTGGCGGGCGGCGAGGATCATGTTCGTGGTCCAATGATGATGGCGGAAGCCGCACTGGGTTTCCGCAGAAGACCTTCTTCTAGGTGGTTGTTCAGACGGTTGAGAAGGATGCAGGCGAAGATCTTTCCGGCGATGTTCAGCAGCGAGATACTTCAGTGGTTGTCACAGAGTTGGCGGTTTCTTTTCCGCTTATAGAGGTGGACAATCGTTGCGTCCTTGAAATACTGGGGGACTTTTCTTTGACGACACGTCTCCTGGATGAACACCGTCAGACGATCTATGAATCGGGGGCCACCGTGTTTGTGGATAACGTTTGAATGCTTCCTCTCCAGAATGCTTCATCACGGCCCTGATGGTTTCGGAGAGAGAGGGGCGGGTGGTCGCGTTCGGCTTTGGTTCCCAATTGAGGCGGACGGGCGATGGCGGCGTCGGAGATGGCGGAGGGACGGTTGAAGACGCCTCGGAAGTGCTCGGGCCATCGCTGTAGAATTTGTGCCTCCTCAGTAAGTAGGGTAATGCCGTCGGCACTGAGAAGGAATGCAGTACCTTGGGTTGGCGGATCGTAGATGGTTTTGACATTCTTGAAACTGTTTCGGTCCTCGGCCTTCCGAGCCGTCCAAGAGTCCTGCATTTGGCACAACCGCTGTTGCACAAGGCGGCGACTACGGTAGAAAGCAGCTCTGTTTTGTCGGTGTGACGTTCGACGTAGGCTTTGCGCAGTCGGTTTTTCTCGGCGAACAGGTTGCTAATGGCGGCGTCGTTGTTATCGGACCAGTCCTGGTGTTGATGACGTGCGCGACGCAGGACAGCCAAGGCCGTCGACTGGACTGTGTTCCACAGTTAACTACATCGGTTCTCCACGGAGGCGTTCTCGTCAGCGGAAACAGCAATTGGAATGTTGGCCAGCCGTTCACCCGATTCATTGCTGAAATGGAGATGGTGAGCAGGGAAAGACAACAGCGCAATAGTCAGCCTACCTGGAATTCGATTACCTTGAGGCTTAGCCGAATCCGCATCTTCGAGATGACGAGACGAATGGCCTTCGTCACCAGCACGTCCCGATGGTCTCGCCTCCGGACGAGGACATAGTCCAGTAGGTGCCACTGACATGACCGAGGATGAATCCAGGTGGCTTGCTCTCGCATTGGGAGGCGGAAGTAGGTGTTGGTCAGGATGGGCCGGTGTTCTGTGCAGATGCGTAGAAGGAGCAGGCCGTCGTCATTGGAGCCGTCGAAACCATGGAGACCCAGCACTCCTCTCCAGGCAGCATGGTCTGTGCCGACGCAGGCGTTGAAATCACCAAGGACAATCAACTTATCCGCCTCCGGCACAGACGCCAGGAGGGTTTACAGGTCCTCGAAGAATTTGTTTCTCGCCTCGTCAGGGCTGGTCATCGGGGGAGCGTAGACGCTGACGATAGGGGCGAATTTGCCTCCCCGGAGAGGCAGGCGGAGGCTGATCAGGCAATCGTTGATGCCCTATGGCAGACAGAGCAATTGTTCCACGATATCGTCCGGGTAGCCGGCACCCACCTCCTCCAGTTGGCCTTGTTCGGACAACCGGGTCTTGCTGGGTTCAGGAATGTCCATCTTGTTGCGCGCCAGTTCACGAGCCACTAGCGATGCCCTCCGTTCCGGTCGGTTGCTCCTCGGGTTGTCTAAAAGGGAGCGAACATTCCAGGCAGTCAGTGTGAGCGGACTCACCCTGCCAGTCTGACGGTGGGGTGACAGGGAGGGATGAGGAGGAAGAGAGTGTTGTTGCTGTTTCTTCTTTGCTTGTTTCGACCGTGAATTTAACGTCTGCGGCCACGATCAGCCTGCAGACGGCGTGGTTCCCTAGCATTTGTTCAGGGCACCTTTTCTAGTCCTTTCCCCCGCGGGTGTGAGCAGTGCTCACTTGTGTCAGGCGCTGCCGAACTCCACTATGGGCCGCGTCTTTGGTGTAGTGAAGAACGGCTCGAGTTAGCCTGGGACAGCCTACGACATCGCCGTAAGCTTGTGGTCTCCTGCGGTGTACCAGACGAAGCCTCGTCTCAATGATGCCGATGCGGAAATCCATCCGGCCAGCAAAGTCGACTCTATCGTGCACTGAGATGCACACACGGATACCCTCACCTGGTCTGACCCGCCGGTCGAGGCGGTTACCGGGGTGTGGCCGCTAGGCAGAGCCCAGCTTCGGGGAGCATGTGGTATACCATTAACACGTCGAATTTCCCTGCAGAGTTCTTCAATGTCAATGATGGCTGAGGCTGACTATAACGTCGTATTTAGGAGTTGGCGGATAAAATCGTCGTTTTGGGGCCTAACTCCAGCCGTCTGCGTAGACAACTACAAAGTTTTTTCACTGACCGAGTCACTTCTTTACTGCTGGCCGAACCCATGAATTTTCTCAACTGCATCGTAGACGGATCATTTCCATCAGCTGGAACGAGATCGAATTCCTGTGCACGGTGCCTCGACTATGCTGGACCGCCGTAATTTTATGCCATAGAAACGTCTTGCACGTGACAATTTGGAAGCTGAAATTTCGGGCGTGGCCTGACCCAAAGACGTTGCTGTTTCCAATACCACGCGCCGATAAAATATCATGAGCTCATTTACGAGACATAGAACCGAATAATATGTCGTGACTGGCATTTCGATCATCGCTTGAATATCATATTAACAGGTGTTTGCAACGGTGTTTAAAGCACGTATTAGTGGCAACTAGTCCGGTTCTAATAGACAAAGCTCAACAGTCTTCCCTATTGTCGTATCAGGAACTAAGTCAAAAGTTGCCAGTCATGTAAAATACCTAGCCCCGCCTAACCACTCCAGTCCCAGACAACATTCAGCAGTCCACAACGAGGGAGTCCGTCAACCTGTTCTTGCAACTGCTGGCCTGCAGTTGGTGGTGTGACGTAAAAATATGCTAGCAAGGTGCCATTCCAGTCGTACTCATGCTGGCCTGTCATTGGCGGGTTCAAACACAGGTAACATATGACGTACCTCTTGTGAGGGTGCGATCACCACATCGCGTCTATCAAAGTATTCGCAGGGGCAGCTGATGCCGAGCGTGAGGTGGGATTTAACTCTGGAAATTTTTACTTCCCAAGGGCTTTACTAGGGGATTTGGATCTGAAACAGTCAACAGTCGTCCGGGTTGTAGTCATGAGGACTACGCACTGTAAAGATTTGGGTAACAGTCGAGGAATATTCGCACATTCCAGCGTTCAATATCAACCGCCTGCCCATGAATTGAGGGATCCAGTTCGCACACTACTCGTCCACATCACCGTACGGGGTTTGCGAAGCGCGTTCGAGGACGCCGTGCCAGAGATCATAATACTTATATTGGATATTTTTGGTGAGATATCTTTAAAATTTTGAGTGCAGGTTGGTGTCCAATGGCAGCTCGATTTGTCCGAGGTTGCCGCTCCCCGCAACGCATTGATTCAAGAACGTAGACGCAAGGTAAAGAATCTTATTTAATGGGAGTTCACGGTGCCGCCATTAGACCTTGCGAGCTAATCTCCCTGCACCCTGGTAGCGTCATCATTGCCGCCCACGACGGCTTATGCGTTGGACCCGAGTCTGCATAGTTTGCAGGCAAACCTCCGCTAACGGGCAAACGCGTCCTTCTGATGTTCTAAACCAGTCCAATGCTGAATAGGGCGCGATGCAGACTAGGTTAGACACGATACTCATGGCAGACGCATTCCCGATTGATCGGATGGAGAGGGCGCTAATACGTGCGGTTGTCATGCCGGGTAAGGTCGAGACGGAATCTTCCGTTTTTGCGGCGCTGGGCTAGCTTGATATGTCCTTCATCAACTCCTTCTTTTCCGCTTTTTTTCGGGCGAAACTGAAGTCATTCACTTTAAGAGAATGTTGGTCTCAACACCCCCAACCGATTACGAAAACGCCCCAACTTCCTGGCCATCAAAGTGCAAATTAGTGCAGGCTTAGTGGTCTCAGTGTTGATTGAGCGCTCGGATCTAGGGTTTCCCACCTGTCCTCGTCTGGATATCTACCGCGAATAAGAAGTAAGGAGGAAGGATGTTCAGTTCGTCTCAAAAAAACAAGAAAAATAAGTCAAGGTGGAGATGGTTGCTGACAGTGGCGGTGGATGAGCATCCAAAACAAACTGATGGGGTGGATTAAATGTGTAAACGTAAGGGCATGGGGTAAAGTTACCGAAGAGAAAGACAGTTCTGGTGGTGTTCGATGGAGTCTACAGCGCGCTCAGTGCACGGTTCATTAACGTGAATGAAAAAGGGCAGATGCAGTCCGACCGGAACTGGGGAATTCCGACTCTTCCAATCCCCCCTCCGTCTCGCGTTTTCCGCAGTACAGACGGAAGAGGCGGAAGGCGGTTGACGAAAATGCAGTGTTCTGCAATTCAGTTTTACAAGCCAAAAAAGGCTATGGCATATTTTTTGGTTTAAAAAATAGAGCAGCGTAAAAAGGTGTTACAACGGTATTATGCACTGTGTTAGGGTGGGACGAGCATATGAATACAGAAGGAAATGTCCTAGTGCATATGGGTGTACGAGAGGGGGGTGGTGAAAAGTGTTTCAAGTTAAGGAGAGAGGTCTAAGAAACTGATGTGAGCTTCGGTGTGCTGGTCATATATATATATATATATATGTGGGGAGAGGTACGGTAGCGCGCACAAACAGAGGGGTCTGAGTTTTATGAGCAAATCGGATGGAGGGAGGAGATGAGGAGACGGCGCAACGTTCTTGCAGGCACAACTGACTGATTAGAGGGAGAGAGAGGAGCGTGGTTTGTGCGCGGGTGCTCGTAGGGAGGGAGGAAAACCCTCATGTGCGCGGGGTCTGTGCGCCAGCATGCCGAGATGAGAGTTGCTCATTTTCCGCTGCCGTGAGGGGACGAGCACGAACGCGGAAGAAGACGAAGTCCTTCTGGAGCTGGAACCTGTTGTCGTCCTGTGTCGGGAAAAAGGAGAGACATATCAGCTGTGCTAAAGAAACGATACACATACACATTCCCCTCACCACTTTGCTTCCTTCCCATTCCCACCAAGAGGAACGAAGCAACCACCTCGTGACTCGAGGCAAGATAACATTAGAAGCACCAGATTGGCGGTACAGGCTGCAACCGGTGCGGAAATACGCCTACAGCGGACCATACAGTCAGGCTGAAACCCATCACGCACTCCTCAGAAGACATTTCTGGCCAGCAAAAGAGGGGCGGAGAGGTTCAATACCGCCAAACTTACAACCAATAGCACGGCAAGAAGTATGGTTAATTTTTATTGCAATTTGACCCGGCTGCTGAATAAGGCCAGCTATCTGGAAAACCAACAGATCTGACCAGCATAGTTAAGCAGTGGACCTCCGATAGGCCGTCGACAAGGCAGATCAACAAACCCTAAACATCAGGTACACAGCCAAAAACCACGAGCAAGGATGACGCGTGGGGGGGGGGGGGTTAGGGAAGGAACTCACCTTCTTTGAAATGCAACGCTCCTTGCGTAGAAAGACACCGGCGACATGAGAGAAGGCGCGTTGTGAGAAGGGTAGACGAGAATCAGACAGGGCACCACCGCTGGTAGCAGGGTCTAAAGGGTCGCGAGGAGACGAAACAAAGTTAGCAAGACGCAGGGCTCACTGCCTGAGCAGCCTGGAAGGTATACTGCACGATGAGAGCGGAACCAGTGACAGACTTATGAGTTGCGACAGGTTGTCGGTCTTGAGACGAGTGAACGAGGCGCCCCGAAGTTTAGTCAGGACGCACCTGCTGAACATCCAAACACTGCAGATCAAAAGCCCGCGCTTAAGCTCACCGATAAAACGGGGACAGACGATCTGCTAACTATCATGCGCCGCTGTGCGGCTGCTGGTTGGACTAGAGAGAGCCCCAAGGCACAACGGGATGAGTGAGTTCCGTTACATGGTCGGTTAGCGCCCCTCTACCATCAGCTTACTATTGTTTACAAGGCTAACTAAAACCTGTTTCGGTGTACGTCTGCACTCAATGACTTGACTTCTCCGACCTGTTTCAGCCTCATTGGTTTGCCCTGCCCACTACCCCCCCCCTCCCTGGGCCACGCTGTAGACTGCGCTGAACCAACACGGCTGCCATATTGGACTCTGGCAGGCGCTATCGGATTTGCGCTCCAAAACAAATGCTAGCATTTTGGGGTGCGGTGTCAGACCCGGTTACCGGCAGACGTCGCGCACACTGAGACGCCTGCCGTCCTCCATTGCTGTTGTTGTTGATCAAAAACCTTACAATTTGTTGTTTGGACTAGGGGGTGTGGCGTGAAGAGCCAAGGTGCGGGCTCAACCGTGCCATCCACCTGCGCCCTCACCCGCCTCCGGTCTTTTTGACTCTGTCTTGACACCGGGTCCAGGTGGAGAAGGGATAGAGAGAGTGCGGCAGACGCTGTGCAAGTCTACTATCACTATAATTTAATTCACACACAAGTCACCGTTCCTGCTCTCACCTTGATGTGGAGCACAGGGTGGACATCGTCGGCAACGACGACCGACCTATCTACTCACACTTTGTTGTGCCCTTGGGGAATGGGGCGGAAGTACCAACAAGAATGAGACTGGCTGCGTGGGAAGTTGCGACTAGCCGGAAAAAAAGCAAAATTGAAGCGGCTGCTGAAGAAGGCCGGAAGCTGAATGGCCATTTGCTAGAACTGGATTTCACTGAATTGCAGTTAAGTCCGACGATGAGTTTGTTCATTATGTCGACGTTGTCGAGATGAGTAGATATACATGGAATGTTAGCCGAAACTTTGAAATGCGTTTTCGATCCGAGAAGATTACTTAGGTACGGTTGTAATATCAATCACGCACAGCATAATAGCAAGATATTTCACTCATG